ACAGCCCAGCCTAGCAGTTAAAGCGTGGTGCTCATGGTTCATCTCTCTGAGAGATGCGTGGTAGACTATGCTACCCCTTTCTTCGCCCTTTTAAAGCCTTGCATTGGCAAAGCCAGAGCAATATCTACTTCAAAGTCACAGTGAGAACAGGTTGGGAGTACTATCCCAGAATGCCGTTTCTGCCCCCCTTGCCTTCGTGTCTTTTTTTTTTACTGTCACTTACCAATGAAACAGGCAAGGACTAGCCAGATGCAAATGGGTGTGAGGCAGCTCTATCTCACTGTTCTTCACAATCCATGTTAAGTGTTAACCCAAATGCTTCTCAAACCATTTGGAAGTATATGCCTGCCTGCTTGGCATGTAACTTACAGTTCAGTAGCGAATCTCCCATGAGAATTTGCTACATGGCCAACTGTCATTCCCAAAAGTTTGCCAATAAGTAAAGCTTGGAAGGGCAAGTTCAAAATGGCAGGAATCACAGGTATTACAGTCATACTGTTCGTGTAAGATTTTGTTTTTTTTTTTAACAGAAGGGTCTAGTCCATCTTAGGTGAAACGATGTTCTTTTTAAGTGTCCCACTTGCCAGAAGGAAGGCACTCCCATCAATAGGAACAATGAAAGCATATCTCAAATTTTATTTATCCCTCTAAGTTCTGAAAGCACGTTAGGGAAGAATAACAACATATTCCGCTTTGGCTACAAAGTGCTAATTAATAACTAACTTCAAGTCTCCCAGAGGTAAAATATTAATGTTATTTTTTAAATGAAATTAGGCATCACAACATTCTTCCTCTTCTAATTGTTATAAAAATATTTAGCGGCAATGTTTGTTTAATTATTTAGGCATCTCTTAATGGTGTAAATATTACCAGCACAGTCATAAATATTTCTGCTTTGTCCATAGACAATCAGTTAAGGATCTGTTGCTTGTAGGACTTAAATTAAGATCTATTTAAGGCTGCCTGCTGGCTATAAAATAATTACTTATACTTGCTAATGCCTGAATCTGTTGGATTTAGCAGCGAGAAGTGTTCTTTGCTTTCACAAGTAGGGGAAAGTTATTTTTCTTATATAAATGTCATTGTTGATGGTGTTAGAGAGGATTAGGGTGGGGTTGAAGTAGTTGAAAATTTAATTAATCTAATCCCTTTAACAGCAATTGTTTTTTTTTTATTGATAATTCTCTGTAACAACAGTATTACAGATCACACCCGTATGAAATATTTACACTAAATATTTTAGCATAAAATCTCTCCTCCAGCTTTCTGTTCCTAAGGTGGTAACGTTTTCAATTTATTCGGCTTTCTTCTTTTTTTCTTTCTCTCTTACCTAAAATGCAAGGTTCCTTCTCAGGGGACTAGAACGAAAGCTCTTCTTTTTTCCCTGCTAATTTTCTCTCAATGTCATTATCTTTCAGTAAGTCATATTAATGGCCATCAAATCATTAATCTAAAGAGCATGAGTACTATGAAATAAGAATGGGTCAATTGATTTTTTTTTTATACATCTACAGTCATTTGGTATAGATTCTCATTGGAAATGATTTGTTTACTCATCGCTTTCAATAAATGGGTATGCTGCTGAAATTATCACTAAGAGTAGTGTCAGATGAAGGAGGAAACTGTCATTCTGGTCAACATCTGATCATCTCCAGTGTAAACTGGGAATTGTTCTTAATCTGCTCAAATGGCACATTATCCAGGAGAGATTTTCTCTGACCTCCCAATATAAAATTACAGTTAGTCGACCTCCTCAAATGCTGGTCTTCCCTCTAATAGGCTTTCTTTTTTCTCCACAGCAGTTATCAGCATGTAACATTATAAAACATTTTATGTTAGTTTACTTAATGCATGCCCCCAACTAAGATGGATGCTCTGCGGAAAGAGAGGATTTGAGTTTGTTTACTGCTGTATCTTGAGAGCCAAGACAGGTGCCTTAAATATAGCGGTATAGTAGGCAATCAATAAATCATTATTGAATGTGTGAAGCTTTTCTCTCATTTTTCACATGCCTAAAGCGCCAGATCAGTGCAAAGCAATGAAATTTTCTCCTTGTTTTGGCATGCGTTTTGGTGGCTCGCAACTTGACATAAATGTAGCCATTCATCCTGAGCTGGCTGTCCTGCCAAGCCCCAGTGGAAGTGTCCCTGTGGTACAAAAACAGACTCAGTGCTTATGTGGCCATGTCTTCATTCAAGGACTGAAACTATGGGTTGTGCAGCACTGTTTGGCATCCATATGTTTACATTCTTAAGAGTGATACAGAGCAGCGACTCTCAAAGGATGCTCTACAGGACAGGACCTACGTGCTATATAATTAAGGTCTACTAAAACGAAAAGGGGCTCCATGGTCAGATAAGCTTCTGAAACTAGGTATTGCTTGAAACTAAGGAAGGTTCTTAACTTCCTCGCATCTTAGATGTATGGTAACATTCATTAGGGATCCCTAAGATGAGACCACTTGGGCTATGTTTCCCAAATTCATATGATAGTGGACTTTTTCTTTTTAACCAGCCAATTCCGTTCTAAGCCTAGGTTGCATCATAGGGAATCCATTGACTTGGGAATTGAAGAGGCCAGGGCAGGGGCAGGAGAAGCTGGCCCTCGCTCTGTCCCTTATTCGCTTTGTTTTGTGACCTTGAGCAAGTCACGTGACACTTCTCTATGTCTCAGTTTCTTCTTCTGAAAGGTAGGGATAAAAAAGATAACCCAGGATAATATACTAAAAGTATCTGACTCGTAAGTGCTAAATAAATGGTGGTTATTGTCAGTACCTTTTATTGAATGTAGGAATGAATGCTTTCTAGACAGAAAGCTTCAAGTATACTTTCTAAGACAGGTTTGCTAGTCTTGACCCATTTCCCAGAATCAGCCTGCTGTGCCTCCTTCTTCATCTCGGCACCCTGTTCCCATCTGAGAAGCTCTGCGCATCTAAGCTGAAGTCAAAGAAATTCTATCTTTCTACACAACTTACTACAAATGCCTGATAACTCACGTGGTGTATCCTGCAGAGTTGATATCCTGTGTTTCGATACCCTTGACCTCAGAGGAAGACACTTAGGAAGAAGAAGGCAGCATCCGAGCTAATGATTGTGCAGATGGCTGCATGCTAACAGATTTTGAAGGGACCATAGTTTTTCAGTAAATTTCAAATGAAGGTATGATTTGTGTAAATCTGACCCCTTCCAGTAAAATGTGCATTTACATATATTTAGAATTTATAAGTCCTGACAGATTCCACAATATTTATAGCCCTCCATAAAAAGCCTTTGCCTGTTTGCACAGCTTTGCATTTGGCTCTCTGATATGCTTAAGAGAGTTTAAATAATAATAAATTTGGTGATTTATTCCACCTGGAACAGAAACTTATTTTCCCCTCTTGGCTCGTTTTGAAGGGAATACTATAAATAGTGGCACAGACGCTGGGATCAGGAATAGGGAACTGAAATTCAAGCGAGGAATACAGAAACATTTCCATTATCACTGATGCCTTGAATGTATTTTTGAAACTGTTCTATTCCTCAAATAATGTACCGTCTCTTCTTTCTCCTGCCCCATCTCAGTTATACTTGAGTCCCCCACACCTGTTGCCAGCTTTAGGATTCAGTTGCATTAATGGGAAAGAGAGAGTGAAAGTATTAGCTGACTAGGTAGGAGAAAGTTGCCTCTAGGGAGACCAAAGCAATTCTCCAGTGTTCATCTTACATTTCACAGGAGTCAGCTGGTAACTGAGCATCCCTGTCTACAGTGTAAATTTATTATTTGAGACTGAGCTCATGCATCCTGCAGGTGTGATGAAAAGTTCTCAGTTCATGAAAAGGGAGGCGGGATGGGGGGTGGGGGAAATCTAGCTATAATTAAAAGACAAAGCCTAAGGACATTGTCAGAGAGTCTGTTCTTTCACCTGTCCATGCTTATAATTACCCAGTATGAGATTAGAAAGAAATACCTGAATCGTTGACTCCAAATGACGCCATCTGTTTCCTTAAACACAAAATAAACAAAAGTCAGAGAGTGAGTTGTTTGCCATAGAGTCCACTGATGGAAGCTGAAAACAGCCATTTAGTGTAGCATAAATGGTGGTGTCACTTGTGGTATGACAAGGAGACTCAATTCTAGCTTCTTGTTTGAATGGACTGTGAAGGAAGCAGCCTTTGTGAGAGGGAAAATAATATTAATGGCTAACATCACGGAGAGCTAACTCTGGGCCAGCACAGTGACACCTCAAGTGGCAGTGGCTCTTTGCCACACCCTTTTAATTAAGTACTGGGTTTTCCCGTCCTGGTAAGTTGTAGCGCCTGCTCACCTTAAGTGTTTCCTGAGCCATCCCCTCGCCTCTAGCTAATGGGATGGCAGATGTTTGGGCCAAGCCCCAGAGCCTGTAGTATACCACATTTTAATGATTTGTGGTGAGCAAAGTAAATGCTTTAAAAGCAAGCTTCATGAAGCAGGGACCCTGTTACTCATGATGGATGCGAAGCAAAGCGAAAAGAAGCTGAGTGTCGCATGGGGGTGTCGTTCCCAAACAGGACACAGGTATCTACAGTTCATTGCTAATTCTAAAGCTTTGCTTGAAAAATGACTTTTTAAAGAGCTGCGCTCTTGAGGAATGTCCTTGAGGCCTGGAGGAATTTCTTCGCTTTTTCTAAAGCATCGTTCTAAGAGGACGCCGAGGTATTGAGCTATTAGACAGTTGCTCAGTGTCTTGGCACTTCTGGGACCACATTATGGGTCTAACGCATATGGGATAAATACACTGTTTTCATTTCTTAAAGCCCATGGAAGGAAACAAAACAAGAAAATTACCATATTGCTTCTTTTTTTTTTTTTTAAGCTATTAAATAAGAGAATGCAGTTAGGGCGAATAAAAATGATTGTAGTAAACGGGTTTTTTCTTCTTCTTTTCTTCCTTTCCTAGCCTCTTCCTCAGCAACGGCACTATGGCAAGATTTGGGTCAAACCCATGTTTTGATGCACCCTCTTCTGTTCTTCTTCCCTAGGGCAACCCGTACATGTGCAATAATGAGTGTGATGCGAGTACCCCTGAGCTGGCGCATCCCCCGGAGCTGATGTTTGATTTCGAAGGAAGACATCCTTCCACGTTTTGGCAGTCTGCGACTTGGAAGGACTATCCCAAGCCTCTCCAGGTCAACATCACTCTGTCTTGGAGCAAAACCATTGAGCTCACAGACAACATAGTTATCACCTTCGAATCGGGGCGTCCAGACCAAATGATCCTGGAAAAATCTCTCGATTACGGACGAACATGGCAGCCCTATCAGTATTATGCCACAGACTGCTTGGATGCTTTTCACATGGACCCTAAATCTGTGAAGGATTTATCACAGCATACGGTCTTAGAAATCATTTGCACCGAAGAATACTCCACGGGGTATATGACAAATAGCAAAATAATCCACTTTGAAATCAAAGACAGGTTTGCGTTTTTCGCTGGACCGTGGCTTCGCAACATGGCTTCCCTCTACGGACAGCTGGATACAACCAAGAAACTCAGAGATTTCTTTACAGTCACAGACCTGAGGATAAGGCTTTTGAGACCAGCCGTCGGGGAAGTATTTGTAGATGAGCTACACCTGGCACGCTACTTTTACGCGATCTCAGACATAAAGGTGCACGGAAGGTAAGAGAACTTCTGTCTGACTTGAATGAGAATGGTTGCGCTTAAAGAACATGCCAGTGTGTTTGTCCGGCACCTGTAACGTGACATTGGTCACTTTCTATAGCATTTTCTCAGGAACACCAGCCTAGAGGTAGGTTCTCTGAGACCCTTCTTACTCAGCAGTAATTTGGGATCCCAGACTTGTCACTAAATCGAAACCTGGCAGGATTTCTTATAATTTAAACCAAAGAAATAAAGCGCATCTTATAAAGTACACTGAAAAGCAAGAAATACATATTTCTATCGTTTTCAAGTGCAAGAGAGGGTTTCAGCAAGGTATAACTCTGTGTTTATGTTTCGTTATATTACATTAAAAAAGTTCCAGAAATAAAAGTTATGTTTCTTTACATTTATTAAGTCAGAAGCAAAGCATTGAGGAAACACAATGCATTTGTTAAAAGGGGGCAAGCAATATTTTTCAGATTTTGGGGTGTTATTGTCTTAAAAAGATATGCTACCATTTAGAATACAAACCTGAGTTAGGCTCTTTTTACTTTGTGGATCATTTATAGATGGAGCCGAGTTTAAATATTAAAAGTCATAATCAGGCATACCTTTGGTTTTGATAATATGCCAGAGACACAATTGAGCAGTTTTCCAAGAATTTTGGAGATGTTTAAATGAAAAACTTGAGTAATGAGAACCAAGACCACCAAAGTAGACACTTTCCACTAGATTTTTAAGTGTCATATGTTATCAAAATAAGCAACTGATGGCAGTTGAAGCATAAGATAATGAGCTGGAAAACTAAAGTTGAGTGGACTATATGGCAAAATGGAAAAAAAGCAAGCAGAGCAAAGCAATAATCATCCCCCAAATGCCAAGAGAGTCTTAAATAAGAACATATGAGGATCAGAATACAAATGGTATATAAATCATATAGGTTTAATTAAGTACTCATAAAATTTAAACAAATGAGGCAGGATTCATTCCCTGGCATCCAGCATCCCTCAGAGCAGGGCAGAACTCAGAATCTGGGGCAGTGTTAAGGGCCCTTGGCCTTTCAGAGAGATGTCTCAGCCTATCTTTGATAATGGTGCTGTTGTATTTGTGCACCAGAAGGAAGAAGAGATCCCTGCAGGTTAAGGGAAGGGCCATCGTGGTGGGCACGACCTCAGTATGGTGGTAAAGATTTCAGAATTAGCAGGAACAGGTGGCCACCTCACTCTCAGCTTTGTTCTAGCTGCATGTTCCTCCTGGAAAAGTCGAGAATCTTCAGCAAGGGGGCCTCTCTAAAAACTTTTAATTAAGGTCCTGGTGATGTGTGATGAGGATATTTTAAAAGCAAAATAATATTTCAGAGAGAATTAGGCTCTGGTTCAATTGAGCTTGTGGGTTCCAGAGTGTAGAGGACAGGGCATGTATTGGCAGGGAACCAGGAGAGCGCAATATAAAGTGGTCGGTCGCCTTAAACACGAGTTTGCTACTTAGGATCAAATGTAGCCATTATACTCATGAATATTTTGGCAAAAGGTGATTGGCTTCCAGTATCTTATTCTTGGGGACTATAATACATAAAAGTAATTGATTTCGATATCGTTAACAGTAGCATTCTACAACAAAGTAACAAGTGTTCTGTTTACCTACAAGAATAAATGTCAAAATTAATAAGCTGAGATTTGAATTTGAATCCTAGCGTGGGCTACGTTTTTAGGCAGAGACCTCTAGGTCACTTTCCTTGCAGTTTGAGAAATCCTTACTTTAAGCCAAAGTCCTTAGAGCCCAGCTTCCCCGAACACTTTCATTTTCCACTTGTAAAGAAGGCAATCTTCTGCAGCTTTTTTGTTGAGAAATAACCATCACTGGGACTTCTTTCTCTTATTGCATATTCATTTTTTATTTCCTTTGATTATTTAAAAATGAGTATAAATACACTTTAAAGCATAGACGTTTTTATGCATTCTCTCTCGGGGTCAGACATATTATCTCTTACCGTTGGCATCTTAGAAGTGTAAAATCCCACCAGATTTACCACTTTTCCACCAGTCAACTGTAAGCTGGTGAGGAAGCAGCTGGGCAAGAGAGAAAGGTCCGGTAAAGGTGATCCCTTTCCATCAGGTCCCACTCTGTCACCTCCAAACTCTGTCCAAATTCCTCAGGGCAAAACTGATGTTGGCATATACTGTGCTAGGCACCAGATGGCCGGGGTATTTTTAGTCTTAGGGGAGGGACTGAAGAAGCAAGGCCTGATGGCTCGGGCGTGTCTCCAGCTTCTACGTTATATAAGGAAGATGGATCCACCAAAGGGAACTGTTGAACTGTTGCCTGGTTCACAGGCCTTTCAAACATAGAAGCTGATACACATTTACCCTTGAAAATTTCAATTGGATTAACAGTCTGGTTTGTCTTTTTCTTGTACAGCAAATCATCTATGGGAGGACTGATCATTAATGGATGACCTCTAAAGAAAGTTCTAAACATTTTTTTAAAGGGTATCATAAACTTTCCAAAATATAATGGAGGTCTTTGTTTCCCACATCTCCTTCTTCCTCCATCCATGAAACGATTGCAACATTTAACGTGCCTTTACACATCCACATCTGATATGATAATGTTCTACTTGTCACTCCACCGCCACCCCCACCATAATGTGGGAACTGGCATAAATCATTTGGGGAAAGTGGGTAAATATCCACAGAACAGTGGACAGAGAATACAAGATTTTTCGCCTTGACGTATTCAACTATGAAACAAAAACAATCGGAGAATCTTTGATTGAGTCAACTGACTGCAAATTCCAGTTCATGGCTTCTTGTGCACACGTGTACACAGTGTTTATGTTCTAGATCGGCTAGTAGTGTTTGGTGTAAAGGTGATGTGTTGATTGTCATAAGACTAATGTTCTTTTTGGCATGCGACACATCTGATATCTATTTTACTGGAGACAGAAACTATAATCCCATCGGAAAAGTCGTAGTCCTCTTTCATTATGTATTTATTTTGCTTCCATTTACTCCCTCTCATTGTGTGTTTATTAAGATAATGAAGAGAAAAGAGGAAACATGGCTATTGGCAATCTCAGCAACTCTGTAGCACTTCCATTGTTCGATAAACCTAATAATCTCCGTGGACTAATTCTGACTTACGGGTGTCCTCCTTCAGTAAATCAGGGTGATTTTCTCTAGTGAATAACAGATGAGTGCAGTCTGCCAGTACCTTAATTACAGAGTGGCTCTCTTAGTCTTGATCTCATTTTAATTTACCGGGTAATACTACAATAATATCACTAATGGAAGGTACATTAAAGGGCACCAAGTAGCATTAACTGTATTTAATTATGGTACTTGTGTTAATTAACTGCCGAGGCAAGATGGTTCTAATGGCCAAAAAGGTCGTCTAATGCATAAATAAAATCTACCTAAATGAGAGGTGAGAAAAGAAACGAGGAGTAGACATTCGTTCGGAGCATCTTTTTATACTGACAGGAAGTTAAACTCGTGGGCTGTTAAATATAATGTCCAAAATGTTTTCTTAGTTACACATGGGAAGGTTTGATATTTAAGTGCCTTGTTTCCTTCTAAGCTTTCCATAATTAAACTGAAAAGTCGAACATTGTATTTTTCTGATGCATAGGTTTTATGGAATATAAACTCAACATTATTGATTGTTTCTTTGAGGAGAACAGTTTCAAGGAAGTAATGTGATTCGTTGTAATAATTGTTAAATCCGAAAGACAAATGAACATTTGATGGTATGCTCATTTATTTGTAAGATATGGGTCAACAATGTGCCAAGGTGCTGTTCTCAGACATAAGATACTAGAAATTCTTTTTCAACCTTACAAACTTTAGAACAGAATTGTGTAAGAACTTTTCTCAGTGGCCTAGAAAATCCGAAGCCACATTTCTATTACCTGCCTTGTTACACAATATTCCTAAACATAATTACCGATAATTTTTCTCAACGGTGTTGACTCAGGTCTTACCCTTTGCAGTGCCTACCCAAGCTCTTGACAGGTAGTTGACGTTCAGAGAGTATTTGCAGAATTGACTTTTCCTTCTATTCCTCCATTGTTTATCTCCATAAAAGGAGCCAGGCACAGAATCTTTGCTTCTAGGAACTTTCTGGTGCTATCTCCACTTCAGTCCCACCCTAGCTCAGAACCACACCCTCCCTGTCTAATCCCAGGACCTGGAAAGGCCCAGGGACAAAGCTGCTGTAACCGGGAGTCAGGAGTGAGAAAGTCCCCTGCACCCTCACCCTCAGAGGGGATCAGAGAAGTTTGTAAATCTTCACTGTTTGAATGTCACCACCTTGGTATTTGCTATAATTAGGACAAAGTGAGGTTGCAAGTCACTTCCTTCAAGCAAGGCTTTCAAACGGTTAGTGGGAAAATGTGTGAAATTAGGTACGCAACACCACCGGGCAAAGTTTAAAAGTATAAAAACTGTAGGGCATTCTCCATATTCTCAGATGATTTGGAAAAAAAAAATCACGTAACACAGAAGTCATCTGCTAATTATAAAAGGCTTACCAGTTATCCTGCAAGTTCTCTAAGTCTTTTTCCTAGCCGCAATTTGGATAAATCCACCAAAATATTTACTCTTTACCTCTCATATGAGAGGCGTCAAAGTATTGGGCCTGACATTTGTTCATTCTTCCCAATTAGTCCTAATTATTGAGGTTGGGTTTTAACACTGCTTAACAGATTCTGCTTTTCTAACACCTTCCTTCTGTCACCAGTAAATACTTATTCTCCACCCTGGGACAGACGCTGGGTTAGACACTGGACATATGGAGATGCACAAGGCACAGTCAGTGCTCTCAAGAAGATGATATCCAGAAAGGGCACAGACATGTAAAGAAAATGGATGACAACATGGGTTAAGCGCTTTTACCGTGTGAATGTGTAAAGTGCTGTGGCAACAATTTAATCTGAAAAGGCTAACAAGAGCTCTGATGAGGATGTGACATTTGCATGGCGTCTGGAAATATGTGCGTTAGAATGCCAAGGAGTCAGG